AGATTAGTCTAATAGAGCAAAGGTAGCGCGTAGCTTAGTAATCGCTTCGTATACTATTAGGCTATTAATAATCTATCTCCCTTCTAGCGTAAGAGACGATCGAATTCCTTACTTTAAGATCTCGATAGATCGTATATAGCGTAGATAATCAGATCTTGCTAACTTATATTCGCTAAGTAGGATTCGATAGATAGCTAATTAATTAGAGGTAAGATTAATAATTCTGATTAGCTTATTAGGAAGGTTAGATATAAATATATTAGTAGGTTTTTTGATTATATTAGATAGATAGAGCTTAGTTAGTTCCTGTAGTAGTATAGCAGAAGTAGGTAGGTCTAGATTAATATATTTCTATATACTATTAGCTAGTATATAATCTTTGATAGCTATAATCTACAGGACCTAATACGCGTGGTATTTAAGAGGATAATTGAGCTAGGTAGATCGTAGATCGGATAAATCTATCACTTAAGACGAAAGTGAGGAATAGATAAGACGAAAGTAAAAGATAGAGGGCTTAGTAGAGGCTCGGGCTTATAACTATTAGAAATGCGTCTAGTGCATAAAACCGTAGAAGAAATCTTTCGTGTATACTAATCTTAGTACCACGATTATAGAAGAGAGACGAATCAAGATAGATTATAATCGGCTAATCAGATAGAAGAATTAAGCAGTAGAAGGTTGATTCAGATAGTCTATTATGCCCGGTGATTCTACTTGAGATCGAAAAGATGTTAAACTTATTTATTCTAACTAGGAATCAGGGTGCAATTTATAATATAGGGTACATAGTAAATATCATATAAGGAAATCAAGAATATTCGAGGTTATTTTGGAGTGTTATATAGTCTCCTGCCTGGATAGGTAATGTTGATGCGATCGTTGAAGATTAATCCGATATATCAGAGAGCGGTAAACATGATAGGGTTTCGTAGCAGGGAAGATGTAGAAAAGGTGCATAAGAAGGAAGATGCAAGATAATGTTCTTCCGCGGTAAAACCAGAGGTTGCTTAATAAGCAGGCAGAATTCAGCTGGCAATCTAGGCCTAAGACCCTATATATGCCGATATTATCTTTAAATAAGTCGTAGAGTTTATTTTGTAGTTAATTAATATCGGTAATAATATCTACTTTTTTAGGGTTCTAGTAAGGCTATTTAGGTATATCCGCTCCTAGGACCGTAGGTAGAGTCTCTAGGATCTCCGGGGTTCCTAGAATTCTAATAGGTATCTTTAGGATCCCTATACCCTAGTCCTAGGAATCGTTAGATAGTTCCTAGAAGTCGATAGTATTCTAGGGACCGTACTAGGTCTATCCTTAACTCTTAATATTTTCCTAATTAATCTCTAGGAAGTCTTCCGTCGCATACTCCGCGCTATTTAGGCCGTAGTTTTTAACGTCGTTAGCAGGCTCCTATTCTTCCTAGGTAGCCCGTAGCTATTATAGTCGGACCTCGGTACTTTAGGTCGCTCGTAGCTATTATAGCTTTGCGTTATTACGTCTATTATTACGCTCTCGCGTCTACGGCTTTGCGTTATCGCGTCGATTATATTTACGCGCTATATATCCTAGCTCTCTATAGTTAAAGTATAGGTTATTATCTTTTCGTCTTTTTCTTCTTCGGCTAGGAGTCTCGCCGCGTTGAGCTCTATTAGTCGTGGCCTATAGGGGTTACTATCGTAGGACTCCCTCGGCTAATATCGCTATTAGCCCGATTATTCTTCCTAACGTCGGCCTCGATAGGGTCGGAAACCGGCGTTTCCTTATTGCCCTTCTCGTCGCTATAGGTCTCTCTTATAGAGCCTATTATCGTACTTAACCGCGATCTCGATAAGAGTACTAAGATCCTTAGGTCGGTTAATTCGTATAAGCTCGTCCTTAATATTATCCTTAAGTCCTCGCTTAAAGAGCTAAATATAGGTATCCTCGTCTAGGTCGAGGTACGAGATAATTTATTAGAACTCGGCGGCGTATACACTAGCCGATCTAGTCTATCGGAGTCGGTCTAGCTTTCGTTTAGCTATTCTAACCGTATCGATATCTCCGAATATCTATTCGAGTCGTTTTTTGAACTATATATACGATCGGAAGATAGCTTTAGTAACGTCTCCCTAATCGTCGCCTGGTTTCTCGTTGAATCTAATATAAGGTTTAAACTAATTAAATACCTATCCGCGAAGGTAGGTAGAGGCGTAGATAACCTTATTAGCTTCCTCCCTATAGTTAATTATACTAAGCTATATATCTATCTAAGTTAGGAAAGGGCGAAGCTTAGTCCGCTCTCTATAGAAGAACTTAGGCTTAGGTAGTTTAATAGTTTACTAGTTAGTTCTTCTCTCGGTAATAGACCTGGCACTCACCCGCCCCGCGGGTCCAAGATCAGGAACCTCCACCCGTACCTTAGAGGGTCAGGGTCCAACCTTAGTAACCCTGACCCTGACCCTAACCCTCCGAGGTTCCCTTGAGGGTGACCCTCAAGGACCCTTATTAACCCTTAAATGCATAATTTCTTTACGCCTTTCCTATTTCGGATGTATAAATTTAATTATCCAGCTTCTTAAAATACTGTTATTTACGGCTGTTCTGGTATACCTCTAAATTCTTCTTGTCTTTTACTATAAAGACTTTTGAAATTTTAAGAAATTAAATTGTAAGTTAATATTTCGTATATTGTTACGTTAGTTTTCTTAGTATCGACTAGAAATATCTTGTTGAAGGTTAGTTTTAATAGATGTTATAAAATATTCGTGGTAGAGTAGTAAAAATATATTTCTGAAGTTAAATAATAGTAGTGTACTTATAATAAGAAATACGTCTTTTTATTTTTAATACTAAATAAACATCGAATAAAAATCTATCTTAGATAATAAACTAATTAGACTGTTATTTAATTTTCTACTAATTCAAATTACCTCTAAGTACTCTAGATCTTGTACGAAAGAAGATTGAAGATATAGATTATTAGACTTTAATATTTTTTATTAAAAATAAATAACTATCTAACTAGAGGGTCGATAAGGGTGACCCTTACTAACCCTTAGGGTAACCCTCTTTACCCGTATATAGCCCCTATACTAGCTAATCGGATAAGATAACTTTAGCCCGAGTAGGTAAGAAGATGATCTATTAGCTTGCGTCCTCTCACGATATAGGCAAATCGATTTCCCCTGTACGATAGCTTTTTTTACTATTTTACTTTCTATAAGTCCTCCCTCTTCTTCAGAGTCCCTATAAGCTACCTCTAAACTATGTCTTAATTCTCGGATAGATATCCCTCCTCGATAGCTAAGGGAGCTAGAATCGAAGATCTCCCTTACCTTATCCCGGACGATACTTTATTCTTAAGTTAATTTCTATTAAGTTAACCTACGTTAGATATAATACTTGATAATTCCTCTATTCCTCTACGGCTAGTACCCCTAGTACTAGAAAACCTTCGGCGGATTAAACCTAACCGGATTAACGAATATCTGCCGTACAAAGCGAATATAAGTAAGGAATTCGTGGAGTGGTGGCTTTAAACTGACTATAGGAGGAAAAAGCGGATTAATTAGGATAGAAGGTATTACGTAACTTGCTAGGAAGGCTTCGATCAAGTAGCTTATACTAAAGATAGAAAGCCTAGCGTAATATATAAGCGCTGCTATACGGTTCTTGAATATCTAGCCTTAGTATATTTAGGTACCTCGTCGATAAATAAATATCTTAAAGGGCTATAATATCAGCAAGGGATAGGTAAGCTAAGTATCTATTAACTACTCGTATAAGCTATATATACGACTAAGATTATCTCTCTATTTTAAACTAACTAATAATTAATCTACTAGGGTTAGAGGGCGCCTACCTAAGTATTTAAGCAGAGTACTTAGGAACAGAAGCTTCTAAATCTAGTTATAGTATCGTATCTACCTTTCCTATTCCTCGAGCATCAAGAATTTTATGATCTTATCTCGTACGCTCGCCTTACCCCTATACCACTAAGTATTCCTTCTAGGAAGGTAATCCGTATAAGGCTTCGTTAACTTGTCACCGATAACTAAATAACTACTCTCTAAGGCCTACTACTAGGCGTAAAGCTATCTCTAGCACTTGACTGCTAGATATCGCTATTCTAACAAGCATTTATAGCGATAATAGTATATTTCCTTGATTAGAACTAGGAATATCGCGAAGTCCTTCTTGGTTTTAAACTACTTTCTGGTATATATTTAGGGGCTAACCTTAGTAAGGTTATCGTACGGACTCTATAATAGTATCAAATCCTCGATCGGGTGCTTATAGTTATAATAGATAATACGTCTAATAATACTATACTTATAGCTATTGTTAATAATATAGCCTAGGTACTAAGGCTTAATACTAATTCCGTAATTATACAAGTCCCTTGTATTATATATATAATTCAACTTAGTCTAAATGATCTACTTAGGAAGATAAAGGTATTACTAAAGAACGATATAGCGGAGGTCGAGTAGAAAGAGGATTGCGTATAAGCCCTACGTGATCGATAGTAAATGCGAGAGATTACCGATATACTAAATAAGGTTAGCCCTCTTATTCTCTCGTTGTACGATGATTATACTTATATCTATATACTTAAGGTTCGTAGTCTTGCTGTCTATATTAACGTAAGCCCTTAACGTCGCGAAGTATTCTATAATCTTTAGCCCGACGAGCTAAAGCTTATACCTATCTAGGACGTACGAACGCGATAGAATTTAATATATCTTATACTTCGGAGGGCTAAGAGACTCTAAGCAACTTTTAATATATTCTGCTCGTAGTACGATTAGCCTTACTTTGTACTAAGCACCGAGGAGTAGCGGCAAATCGATTATCTACTATTTATCCTATAGCCCTTCTTTAAGTATATAACCGTCGTTTGTACGACTAAAGATATAAGTATTTACTTAGTCTTTAGTTTCTATAATAGACTGTTTAACTATCTTGAAAATTTAATCCGTTAACTCCGACGAAAGAAGATACCTTAGAAGTAGTTAATGCTTTCCTCGCTTAAGGCTGCGCAAGAGAAGCTGTTAAAGTACTACGCTATAACAGATAGTATCGAAGGTAACCTCTACGTAATTAGTACGATCCTAGCGCCGGCAAACAAGCTCTAGTTCTTCTTAACTAAGGACTAGGAGTCGAATAATCTAGAGAAGGACTATAAAAGGATATATCGTGAGAGTCTTAAGTCTTTCTTTACCTCGTACGACGAGAAACGTCCGGAAGAAAGGAAACGGTCGGATACTATATTATTAATAACGATAATAACAGATGCCGATCTACTATTTGAAAACTCGTAAGCGCTACTATCTCCGTAATAGAACGAGCTTACGAGGTACCTTAAAAGTCGTACGTCTCTCTTCTCTTATTACTAAATAGTACTAACTCTTTTCTTTAGCGACCGTACGAGGCTCCCCTCGGATCTTTTAGAAAGACTATAAACACGAGTTTCCCGTACTTACAAGCCTTGCCCGGGATATTTTGTCGATCCTAGTAACTAGAGCAGGAGTAGAGCGTCTCTTTAACTCTGCTCGGGATATCTGTTATTATCGACGAGGGTCTTTAAAGCTAGAGACTATCTAGGATATTATGCTTTAGATATATACGACAAGATTTGACCTGTAAGAGCAGAAACGGCTTATACTATAGGAATATCTCTTATACCAAGAGATTGTAGCTATAGCAGAGGCTAATAAAACACGGGATAAATCGTTTAATCCGATTAGTGATACCGAGGAAGAGATAGAGGATCTTATGTATAAGGCGGAGAGTATATAGCCTCTACAGTCCCCTCTACCGTCTCGTACGATAACACTTGACCTTGACGACAGCGAGGCTATAGATCATGATGAGGACGATAACGACGATATCAACCCTCCTTTGCCTAATATATAGTAGCGTATATCTAGTAGAAAGCGGAAGCGCTCGAAGCTACTTAAGGGCTATATGCTTGGATCTTAATAATTACTACATTATTTTGTTCTATATTTATGATTTCCTATATTAAGTTATTCGGACGATAAAGAATATAATTTTCTTATGATTTTATCTCCTGATTCTTAAGTATTTAGTCTACTACTTGCTGTATTAAATTTTACAAATGAATACGTAGAAAACCTCTCTAAATCTTCATAATTTATGCATCGCCAGTAAGTCACGTTTTCTTACCTGTTTGTCTTGTTTGTAGACCCTGAGGGTCACCCGCGGGTGACCCTCTAGGGGTCAGACCTCTAGAGGTACGACCCTTAGGGTCTATAACTCGGTCGCTTACCCACCCGCGGGGCGGGTCGGGTCGAGGGTCCGGAGGGTCACCCGCGGGTAAGGGCCAGGTCTACTCGGTAAGAAGTTGCTCCTAGAGCTACTCGATCATAGTAAGTAGTTAAGTATTGTTTAGTGCTATAGGGATAGACCTACTCGAAAGGTTACTTACGGTACTATCGTTAGGTACTATGATGACTTTACTTCACGGTTAAAGACAGGGCGATTAATATGTTACGCGGTGCCGACTAGTCACTATGAGTAGAGCTATCGAGGGTTATACTTACCTAGTTCTACTACGGATTCTAAGAGTATCTCGCAATCGTACCGTTACTATGCTAAGCCTTACACGGGATCGGATCCTGTTAAGTATCTTGCAGAACGTGCTAGAAGTACGCGCCAAGTAAGTTAGTGTTGGATTTTAGATAGTGATCATAAAATCCAATTGCACACAAAAGGATATGTGTGTCCGAAGCGGGTGAAGAAAGACTATCATGAGAGAAATAGGAGTCGACTAATTAGATCAAAGGAGAGTATGATCAAGTATGCCAAAGAAATCTACTCATGAATCAAAAGAGATATCAGACTTGTTCCATTTAACTAGGAAAACAGGCAGAATTTATAACACGAGGTACATAGTAAATATCACATGAAGAAATCAAGAAAATCCGAGGTTATCTTGGAGTGTTGAGTAGTCTCCGGCCAACATAGGCAGTTCAATGCGAGATCGTTGAGGATCGTTGAGGATCAATACAAATCAATGTGGTAGACATGAAGGTGTTTCTTCCGGGGAAAAGATGGTGGCGGCTTAGTCATCTGCGGGAAGATCCCACATAAGTTGACAGTTAGTCACTAGGTAGTGATAGTTACTAAGTGAGCTCCCCTACTTATAGGTTAGGTTTGTCTTAAAGTAAACTATGAAGTATAAAGTACTAATAGTAGTAACTAAGTAATAATATGTAATTGATCCCGAAGAACTAAATATATGATACTAAATAAGTGTACTTATGTGAGCAAGCGATGCTGCGCAGGTTAGGTAGAGAGGAAGGAAGATTAATTGATCTTCTTCCTTTGATTGAATAGGAAGGGTAGAATCAATTCGGCTTAGAATCATAAGATGAGAGAAAAGTAAAGTAGGACTGAAGCTTGGTTGATTGTATTGAATCTGCTTGTATGTATTAAACATGATTATTATTTTGGTAGAGAATGCAGGGCATATTTATAACCAACTTGTCTCTTGCATGTGATCGTTCTAGATGATGCATGATGATCTCATGCAGACAGATCTAGATGCATAGTGATCTCATGCAGTAGCTGTTTGATCGGTGGTTGCTTGATTATACGATGTCATTGACTGTAGTGATGATGTAGATCGTATACTATTGTATGCGTCTTGTACGATGTCATTGACCGTAGTGATGATCTTTGTAGATGTCATTGACCGTAGTGATGATGGTATAGCATAAAGCTTATAGAGATTCAGCCATCTTGTATAGGCCTTATGAATCTGGCTTGATATGCTGCATGACGGTTTAGGCATCTTGCCCTATATCTCACAACTTATATATCCAGTCCTTCGTGATGGTATAGATAGTAGGTAGTATAGTGGTAGATGACTCTTAGCGTGATCTACCCGTATACCTATCTATAGGCTGCGGCAAAGCCCAACCTTAGGCCTAGGATCCGGGCCTAAGGCCTAACCCTAGTAGGCTTTGGGCCGAACCTGTCGGGCCCTAGCCCAACCTATTAGGCCCGGTAGGCTTATAGTCCGGGCCTAATAAAGCCTAAAAAGCCTATTTTTTGTATAAAATCCAGGTCTTGGCGTTCATAAAGCTGCTGATCTATCTCAATTAATTACCGTTATTTATATATATTATAGTCACCTCTGCGAGTATCCTTTAAAGTAACTACAGACACACTGAAATTTTAGGAAATCTGCTTATATTTAAATTAAACTCTATCTGTAATAATACTTTTGTTTAATTATAATAATATTTAACTGTTATATAGTAGAGATATTATATAGTGGTAGGAAATTCGATTTATATATAGGAAAATATATTTCAATGCTACGCAAAACATATATATTTTCCCGTTTACGTAGCCCCCTCTATATTAAAATGCCTAATTCTCCTAATCCTACCTTATTTCTAGTATTAATAGAATACTTAGAATTTTGTCGATTTTATTCTCATTTTTCAAAAAATCAATCGTATACTAAATATGCTATAATCTAGGTTTAATTTACTAATAACAGACCTAACTTCTTAGGTGTTAAATATTATATAGGGTCTATAGGCTTTAGATAGGCCCTAAATAGGCTTTAGATAGGCTCTGAGTAGGCTCTGAATAGGCTCTAAATAGGCTTTTCGGGCTTTTTAGGCTTTTCGTGGGCCCGACCTACTAATTAATTAGAACTAGGCTAATTATATATATAGATAATAGATTAATAGTATTACGGATAATAGATTAACGAGTTCGAGTAATTCCTCGAAGTCTATAAGCTATTAGTGCCTAAAATCTCCTAGTATATTTATCTTAAAGCCCCTAACTATCTTGTGCTCTCTACTCTTTCCTCGGCTTATCTAATTATGCCTCAAAGTTAACACTCTAACGCGTTCTCCTCTTCTTTCTACGATAGTAGAGTAGAGGATATTACTATATAAGATATTATCTATCTTGTATCCGAGAACGCACTATTGTTTACACCTGATCTTATAGTGAGTTAGTAGACAATTAACTTATCCGATACGGAGTTTCTACGACCGGCTCCTCGACCTATTATTCCCTCCTCTCTTACACGCGTAGGCCTAGGCCGCTTAAAGGCTTATATGCTATATACAAGGATAGTTTATAAAGAATTTGTGTAATAGTGGCTAGAAACTGAGTATAGAAGGATAAGGAAGCTAGAATAGGAAGCCCTGTATCCTTCTGCTATCTAGGAGTAATTCGATTAGGTAGCGGATAGTATTTCTAGTACTACGAAGGTTATATATAAGCGCTATAGCTAGATTCTTAAGTATCCCTACTCTTTAAACCCTAAATTAGTAAGTCGATATAGAATATCTATAATCACTAGATATCTTAAAACTGTATTATATATTTAATTAATAAGGGAAAAAGTACGTAGATTAGATATTACAAAGTTTATACGTTCTAATATACGTAGTCCTCTTTCTTGCGGCCTTACCTTATATCCCGCTAATTTAACCCTCTACTAGGGTCCTATTACAAAAACCCCGGAGTTTAGCTAAGAGGTATAGGAGATCGAACTCCTAGATTTCTTGACTATTGCTTGCCTTTCGTTTCGTCTTATTAAGCATCTAGAGTTCTACCGTCTTATCCGAATAGCTTAATCTACTCTATCCTTTCTATATATACCCTCTCTAAGAATAATCCGGCGTAGGCTTTAGACTTCTGTTAAGGATAAGCAGAAGGGGGTTTTACGGAAGCTTCTAAGCAATACGAAGCTTTTATAGCTCTAGATTGCTAGATATCTCCCTTTACTTAGGCCTTTATAGCAATCACTATATACTTTATTAATAAAGACTAGTAGTATAACGAGGTTCTACTTGGTTTCGAGCTACTATATAGGAAGTATTCTAGTACTAACCTTAGTGATATATTACTTAATATCCTACGAAAGTACGATATCGAGTATCGAGTCCTTGCTATTATAACAGATAACGTATTAAATAATGATATATTAATTAAATCCTTATAGTAGTATCTTACGGATAATATAACACTTATCCGTATACCCTACCTCGTATATATAATTTAACTTAGTTTGAATAAGCTGCTTAGTAAACTTAAGGCTGCCCCGGTAAATAAGACGATAGAGAATCGTTAGATAGACTAGCGATCTAAGAGTGCTCGTGCTAATACGGAAGCTAGAGATATTGCTGCTACCCTAAATAAGGTACGATCTTACTATCCTATTACTAACTATCCTCTCCTAGACTATTATTCACTATAGCTCTAGATTCGTTACCTCTCTATCTTTATAAATACTAGTTCCTAGCGCCGGGAAGCCTTTCTTAGCCTATAGACTAGTACTAAGAAGCTTGTGCCTATCTAGGATATAAAGATACGCTAGAACTCTATATTCCTAATACTTCGCTATACACGGAAGCTCTGTGCTATATTCCTACCCTTTTATAATAAATAGGAGCGACCTGATCTCGTGCTAGATAATAAGGAGTAGCGTTAGATTAACTATCTTCTTTATATTACCTGTCCCTTTTATAAGTTCACTACCGAGCTCTTAAGAACCTAGGATATTACTATCTATTATATATTCAAAATATATAACCTTCTCTTTGACTATATCGATATATACGTTCGTTAGCTTATAAGAAAGACGGTGCTATAGAAGAAAAAGATACTTACGGTACTTGAGGCTAGCTAGGAGAAGCTAAAGCACTATTATAGTAAGATAGATAGTATTCCTAGTAATCTATATACTATTAGTATAATACTTAGTCTAGTAGATAAGTATATATTCTTCCTTATAGAGAACTAGGAGCCTTAATATTACACACAATACCGGTAAAGCTTTAAGGATATACTACGACTATACTAGGATTATAATAAAGACTAGTCTTCCCCTATTGCCTAGCTACCTTCTAGAAAAGTATTAAGACTTAACATGATTCTAAATAAGAGTATATATCGACTAAACGCGCCGAAAGATAAGATAGCTAAGTATCTTGATAGTGGTATATATTTCTAAATTTAATAGTCTTAGGCTAGAAAACCTCTAACTTTTAAGCAAATCCTGTTGCTTCTCTCCCTCTTGAATTCTAGAAGACCTATTAAAGTCGCTTCCTAGCAATCGCTACGCTTACGCGGGATATTCTTTTAATACCTGCAACTAGCGCTAGTGTTGAGCGACTCTTTAATACTACTCGGGATATTTACTACTATCGTAGAGGGAGATTAAACTCGTCTACTATCCAAGAGCTTATAATATATCTCTACGCTACAAAGTTTGATATAGATAATAAGCAGAGGTAGTTCTTACAATCGACCTTCTCTCGGGATGAACTTGAGGCGATAGCGGAGGTTCAAGAAGACAGCCCGGATCAACTTAACGTCGACCCTATTAGTGATAACGAAGAAGAGGCTTTTGTCGATGTAGAGAACGAGGCAGAAAGGGAAGATAAGGGTGTATCTAAGGCTAACAACTAATCTCTTCCTCTACTAGAGGAGGCAAACACTCGGGAACCTGGGCCCGGATACTGGGCCCAAAGCCCAACCTAAATAGGTGTTGGGCCGGGGTTGGGCCTGGGGCCGAGTGGGCTTTGCCGCAGCCTACCTATCTATCCTTCTACTACTAGGGTCACGTACTTATTTACCGTTACCTTGTGTTGTGGCGTAGTCTTGGGTACGGTAGATCGGTGGCCGTTTCCTGCGTCTGGCTAACCGTCCAATCGTATAGGCGGGTATAGTTTAGCACGGTTAGGGGAAGGCTATTTCTAGCCGCCTTCCTGAATGTTCTACTTAGGGCTCTTGGTGACGTGCCTGAGCGACAGGTGTCGCACGTGATAGCGCTAATGTATAGCGCCCGGGGGTTGATTGGTTCTCGGTTGCTCCTCAATTAGTTGCGGCCCCCGCGCCTTCTTGAGGTTCGTAACAGGTAGTTCCACAGGCACTAATCCCTAACTGCCGAAGATGATTGAATAGAGGAATAGTAGTAAAGTAGTTGTCTATATAGATCGTATAGTGATTGCGTTGCGATGGTAGGCCTTCTTGTGCTAGTTGAACAACCATAGACCCTGTAAGAGTTAAACTCTCATGTTTTGTAACCTCCACGAGAGACTTTTGACGGCTTGCCCATATCCAGTATAAAATATAGCCTTGGTCAGCAATAGCAAAAAGCTTATATCCTTGCTGAATTGGCTTATTTGGCATTTTGAATGTATGATAAGAGCGTCTAAAGCCACGAATCATTGTCTCGTCTATAGAGACTGCATTTGAGGGTTTCCAGTGTTGTAAACAGGCTGTACGAAGCCTAGATGTAAAAGGCTCTAGCTTATACCACCACATTTGATTTGGCTTTAGATTAAGCCGCATAGCTTCTTGCACAGCAGCCTCAGGATCAGGATCTGCAATATGAAAGAATCGCTTGATTTGCTGAAATCTTTTCAATCCCATAAATCGGCGAGGTATATGAATTGGCTCCTCATCCGCTCGCCAGTAACCTTCATCACTAGGAGATATATGAACTCCCATATAGATCAAGATTGCAAGAAAGATCTTAATCTCTGAAGTTGTAGTTTCATGCCATTCTCTGCCACATTGGCCTGCGTTCTTGGCCTTTGCGTATTTATTGGTGTTGGCTGATAATAACGTAATCAAATCTTGAGAGATAAACAAAGAAAATAGGCTATATGAGCTTTCAATATCAACTCCAGACGGCAATTGGACTGTAGGAGGAAAAGGTTCAGCCACCTCAAGAGGCTTAAACGAGACGTCGTGGTAATGCGGTATCTCATGAAGGATCTGTGCTAGATTAGGCCGTGTAGCCTGTGCCTTCTTAGAAATAGGCGGAGGAGGAGGAGATATAGACGCATTAGACGGAGCTACAGAGGAGCTATGCATTAGAGGCTCTTCAACCTCTTCCAAAGGCAAGCCCCATAAATCCATAATGCGCGTACAACGATATGCGATGCGACACGCGCGTTCTTGTTTAGTTTACGTAGAATAGACAGTGCGTAGGAATAGGAGATTTAAGGCTATTCCGAAGTAGTAATAAAGCGGTGAGGGCCAGTAGGCCAATGAAACTCCTTACTGAAAGTTACCGCTAACCAGTTAGCGTCTTGCCAGTCAAGGGGATAGCATCATTTCCCTAAACTTATTTGCACACTTAAAAACATGACCCGTAGCGTCGGTAATCAAACATTCTCCGTATGCTGCGACTGTCGTTTGTTATGGCCACAAGTCACGTCCCATTCCTGGGCTACTGGGGTGAGTGCCACCCACTCATGCCGTGGGGGGATTTGATACTGTTCACTGTGCCACGGGGCCACCTTCATCACATACATGTAGTCAATCTCTTCCAATGTTCGGCCTTTTCCTTCGATGACGAAAAGGTAGATGGAAAATGTCGCAAAAGCTAGGCAGCCTGCGAAGACATATCCATAGGCAAAATCAATCTTGTCCGTGATGAAAGGAGTAAAGAATCCTATCAGGAAGTTCCAGAACCAGTTGGACGCTGTTGCAAGAGCCATACCCTTTGCCCGGAATTGCGATGGATACAGCTCTGCGACGATGGTCCAGACCATAGGACCCCAGGTCATGGCAAACGCTGCGATAAAGATGCAAGCGACAACCACCAAAGTCTTGCCTGCACCTGGAGTTGCTTCTGGAACTTGAACGTTGAGAGAAAAGTGACCCACGGACGCGAATATGATGAAGCAGATGAACATCACGACCGCACCCGTCATTAGTGACTTTCGACGCCCAAAGCGTTCAATAGCATAGAGGCCGCCAAAGGTTGTTCCGAAATTCACAGCTCCTAGAATAACTTGGGTGACAAAGCTATTCGAAATTCCGGCACCCTTGAAAATGGTTGTTCCCTGTGAAGTTTTGTGAGTATAGAAAACGTCATAGTCAAAAAGGGCAGATAAACATACGTAGTAGAAGAAATAGTTCGCTCCAGTCAGCTGCTGCAAAGTTTGGAGCATCATCCCCAAGAATAATCGATAAGCCATCCGAGGTGCTTTAAATATCTCATACCAAACCCCGTTGTGGTTCTCCTCTGATAGCTGAAGTGTGATGTCCTCCAATTCCTGAATGATTTGAATGTGATTCTCTGGGATCCCGTAAAGCTTTGCCATCGTTCGCCGCGCAGAATCAAGCTTTCCTTGGCGGACTTCAAAGCGAGGGCTCTCTGGGAAAAAAACCACACCAATACCCAGTAAAAGAGCAAAGACGAAAGTAATGCCCAGGGTGATCCTCCACTGGCTTGATCCTTCCAGCTTCTCGGTACCCAAATTGATCAGGTATGCCAAAAGAATACCGAAGGTGACGAACAATTGATAGCAGCTGATCATAGCACCGCGAATATGCCGCGGTGCACTTTCACCTTGATACATGGGAACAATCAAAGAACAGGCACCAATTCCAAGACCTGCGACGAAACGGCCGACCACTAGCTGGTACCAATGACCATACGGGGCGGTTATCTGCACGATGAGACCGATAAGGATTATACCACACCAGACGGAGATTGACAGTTTGCGACCGAGGTGATCGGCGATAGGAGCCGCTGTCAAAGCGCCAATCAGGGTTCCAACGGACAAGATGGAGACAATTAAACCAGAGCGGACATTGCTGAAGTAATAATCCCCATTGGCGTGCTGTTGGCCGTATCTCTGAACAAAGTCAGACATGTTTTCGAACCCAGAGATCTGGCCGGTATCATATCCAAAGAGGAGACCACCAATTGAGATAAAAGCACCCAATGCTAAGGTCTTAGCTGTCACTGGTGGTATCGGAATGTCGCTTGTTTCGAGATAGGATGAGCTTTTTCTGTGCGATATGGCGGCCAAGTCATTGTTGGGATGGACTGAGGCGACGGGAGCCGTTTCAATACTCGTAGTGGATGCCATGGCAGCCGTCCTTCGCTATCAGAGGCGGGAACAGGAGTTTGGGTATGCAATTAATCGATCGTTGAAACGCAAACTATAAAGAATTCGATTACTTAGTGAGACATCGTTTCTTTTATAATGTCCAAGGCTACTACACATTCCCAAGGTAGGTTTTCTATTTCTGCGAGGCGGTAAAATGTTTCTGGATGTGGTATTCTATTCGGACCTCAGTAATCCGTTGGTAGATTCCAGTTCTCCCAATGGGATGGCCACAGCAATCCCTAATCTACTCGACGACACAATGCCTAAGCCACGAAGAATAACAAAATCGAACTGTGGAACCATGCAAAGTTGGGACGAACCGTGTGGCCGTGGGGACTAGTTGGCTTAGTCAAGCCTTCGGGATTTCAAAGGTTCGGGTTTGGGAATCGGTTAGTCATTGTGGCCATCGGATCGGTCTCGATCGGCCTCGGGCCTGATTCCATAGGCCGAAGCCGTTGCCCTGGTGGCGAACAGCCTTGGGCTAGTGAGCTCGTACATCGGCCGAAGATGAGTTCTGCATATCTAAAAAGTTCCGAATATTCAACTCGGAGGCCAAATATTGATTCATGTTAGTGAGCATCCGTTGCTAGGCCTTTGGATTTTCAAAATAAATCCGCGAAGACTCCACACTGTCACGACACTTCAGCGTCAGTCGATCATTTTATTGATACCTATGCAAATCCATTTTTTTGCCTCGGGGGTCATCGACATTCTTTGTGCCGTGCCAAAATGATCATCAGCAGCTACTATGAATCTAGACTATCCAACCGATTCGTCGCGCGATTGCCGTACAGGTCACTTTCGCGAAACGTATTTGTGAAATGCGATTGGCTCCTAGCGACTGTGCTAAGCTTCTCTCGTCGAAGTACCCAATGCTCAAGTGATAGCCTTTGTTCGGGACGTGCTTCGAAACGGAGAAGGCTATAGTCCCGGCATCTGATGCGGAGGAGAAAGCTACTGTTATGAACATGTTGCGATCAATGCTGTCTTTTGAGCCAAACAAGCGGTTGATTGCACATCGTGTTCTTAAATGTGAATGGGTGGAAAGATGGGCATTGCCAGAACGGCAAGCGCCATTCACGCCTAGAATTTGATTGAAGGGTACTCTTATCGGAGAGAAGGATAAAAGTTTTTAAGAAGATCCAGCTGTCTTTTCATTCGAGATACCCTTGAAAGACCTATGGTAATATGGATATCGCTGTATTCCGTGTATCGTCCAAATTCTCTGCAATGTTACACTATAGTGAAAGGTAGTAAAGAATTAGGAGTAGAAAGTCCAGAATATTTATCAAAGTATATAATATCCTCGCCTGTAGTTTTAATCTAGTCGTGTTTGGCGATACACCTACTTATTGTGATACAGCCGGACCCTTAGAGACCAAGTGCCTCCTTCGGCAGATATCAAGCTTGATGATAGAAGGGAGAACACATTCTACCATGCGCATCAGGTGGCCCCTTTTATGCGTAGACACTCAACTCAAAGTTAAACCAAGCAATAGCCTGCAGGAAAGCCTGCTCCTTTCCAAACTTATTCTTAGGCTTTGTGAGATCGCTACGGATTGCAAATCCGTGCTCAACGCCGCTAAAAAGATTCAACTGGTAGTGCTGGCCTGTCTTGGAGAGAATCTCCTCTGACTTATGCCGCAACTCACGGGTGAAGATCTGATCGGTTTCTGTATATGAATGTTAGCGGAGGCCTTCATTGCTCAATAATTTTTTTTAGAATCCTGTTAAGCATGCAAAGAACATACCCGCGGCGGAAATGGAGAGAGGATTCTCAATTGCGGCAAGCTCCTCATCCGAGATGAAGGAAGGATGAGCAGTATACCCGATATCAATCTTGCCTTGTTTCAAAAAGCGAGCAAGATACTAGAGAGGATAAGAAATGTGAAGGTCAGCGGCGGGTTCTACTCATTGCGGATACGAGCTTTTGTGTGCATAGTACACACCTTGCCACCAAAACAGTATCCGGCGCATGCAATCTTCTTGACACTCAAGCTTTCTCTCAGATGGCGCAGAACCGATTCCACTCTGGGATCAATGGCATCGGGGCCATTCCGGGAAAGCCACTCAGGAATATTGATTCGACCGGCTTCAAAGTCACTGATATCCATCTTATCACCTGCAAATAGATCCGGGAGCACTGCGAGATAACCATTGGCGGCGAAATCATCAGCGATAAGCTGACTGTTGGTGAAAATGCCGAAAACATCGCTCAGGATTAGAACAGCCTTTTGGGGCGTGTCATCCCCTTTCGGACGTGCAATGTATGTAGAAACTGTACCAAGGCGATAGGGTCAGTGGATTATCCTTTTGTTGCGAGAAGTGGTTCAATATCTGACTGTTTCCAATGGATATCATTTCTCCAGTGGCAGTTCCTTCATGTTTGAAGCCGGTAAAGCAACAGTTTGATGGGGGGTTGGACGCCATATTTGCGGAAAGTTGCCCTCGTTAGAAATATAAAAGCCAGCACTTGAAGCGTTCTTTCCCAAAACTTGGACGATGGGCAAATTATAAATTAAATGCCAAGGGGCTTCATCGCAGAAGCCTGGTTTTTTCCCCCAGTGTTCGGGCTCCTAGGACTTTGTCATAACCCCCGCAGAGCCCCGCTTATCCCACATAACCAAGGACGAACCCAGCTGCGGGGTGGCCACCCCACTAGACTAGACTCGGGCTCGGGAAAAGAACCATATGGCAGACTTAAAGGGGATTTGGGAGACACGGACTCCACATGTAGGGCCAGAGATTTCTAAACTGCCTAGTTCTCTTGAGTGATCCATGAGAAACTAGGGGCATTAGGGGCATTCGGAAAAATACGGATCTCTTCGATCTGATGATTTATGGAGAATATCTTGAATTGACGATTTTCTATCGAGGTCAATTTCAACACTCTTCGTTCTATCATCCAATAGTCGCAATTTCGAAAAGCCAGTCGAGGGGAAGAGAATGGATTAGATGCGCGCTAATAATGAAAAAACACCGAAACTGGGGAGGGAAACAGGGTAGTCCTTGGGTCGTGTGGTTTCTTTGCCACGGCACGACTCCTCATGCGCCAAGTTTCATCTCGATCTGTCACTTGTTCTATTTAACTGGTATTCTCGGGTCCCCAATTGTCGTAGATCTGTACATTCGTCACATTGTTTATCTCTTTTAGCATCCTCCAGCACGACATATATATTCACAACATTTTTATTTCCAGTTTACGTCTCACACAGGCCTGTCGCCACTCCCTCTTATTTCGACTAATTCGTTTCAGTATCTGGATACATTGCATATTTCATTGACATCAATTTGGAACTTAAAGTCTCAATTAAAGAATGGCGAGCTTGCCCTACTCGTAACCCCTTTTCATCCCACTTTCCCATCCCTGTGAACCAGAGAAATCATCAACGAAGCAAATTTTCTTGAAATTGTCCAATGCCCTATACGGGTCAACAGATCAACTAGCCTTTCGAGGATGCGGGAAGTCATGACTGTCGGCTGTTGACTCTCTGACCATTCTTCCCCAAGAAGTAGGTCAGGAATTCTGATTCCAAGCCTGTTAAACTCTTCGAAGCGCAAGTCTTCGTATGCGAGTTGGGTGGATTGGTCCCTTGCAAACTCCAAAAAGCAATACCAAACCAGGGCAGCCCAGTATAATACACGAGGTACATGAATTGCGACATTACTTCCCAAGGGCACCACTTCCGATTTTCGAAGAATAAGGGCACCATGGGCGGCACAGCGGGCCCCATTTCTAGATCGTGCCCAACTCTTCGCGTGATCTAGGTGCAGTTGTGACTCCATATAGCCCTGTCGCCCGAGAGCCAGCTCCAGGCGATTCAGGTCAGCTGACATGAGAATAAAAGCTGAATGCCAGAGAATTTCCAGACTGTAGGGATCGTCTGCTGCAGTAGCATCGTCAATGCTATGTCGGAGGTAGGTATCGTGAAATTCCAATAGACTCATTTCAGCGTGGGCAGATGAAGCAGGCCAAGAACCCAGCATTTTAGCTGCGGAGATGGACCCTGAAATGTTTTCCAGTCTGCAATAGATACCAAAGGAGTTCAACCCATGTTCTTCTGCAAGCATCGGATACAGAAATGTTTGGCCAGATGATGGGGTACGTCGTACATCGGTCAAGTCTGTGGGTTCATTTTTCAGAGATTCCTGCCATTCTTGGGCGGTGGCGGCTTCCCAAGACCGCCTGGGAGATATATAAAGGATTTGACACGCGATATGTCGCAGGAGAGGCTCTACATTTAAAAGCGTGCAGTACTCAGTGTCGTGGATGTGAAGCGCTGCCACGGCCCTGCTTCATCTTAATACGCGTATCCTGCGCGGATATTCATGATCCTTCATATGAAGACTCACCTTGCTTGTTCTTGATTCTGGATCCATAATCTCCATGATCCTTCGAGATCCTGGTCGCCACCATCGCCGAGACTGGGAGGCCCCAAGTTTTGATTGAAGAGACGGCATGTTTTCGCCCACTATCGGCCCCAGATTAACATTCAAAGCCCAGTTGACGATAGGCGGCTCTAGATAGCTTACCGTGATGATGGTTCCATGGAATGATTGCATAGTCAACAGATTCGAGGGTTGCTGGATCTGTTAGCCCACAACCGTTGAATGGATGATAGGTGCGCCACGTACACCTGATAACATTGCATACGTATGTCCGATTAAGGCAGCTTGAATGATCACAAGCGCGGTCTGTGGGCCCCGCGATACATATTTCTCCCACTGCATACTATCAGATATCGACCTTTTATGGTTGCCCAGGCGGAAGAGCCATGACGGGAGGGGATAATGGGCCGTTATCCCAATACGCACCGAGGCCAACGCGGCTTTATTCAGGCGATCGAAGATCTTTTGTCCAAGAACAGCCGCACGAGGAAAGCCTGAGAATAGGCTTCCCACGGTGCAGATGGACATCAACAGCAGAGTGTTGTTCCTGGACAACCGGAAGCTTGGCACATGGAGGATCGGGAAAATAGGATGAAAGCGAGTAAAATAGCTGCGGAGGCAATGGTTCTGTTTCTGTTAAGTCCTGAACTCAAATTCAATAATGAGGTGTCACGACTCACTAAAAAGTCAGCAGATGGAAGTGGTGTACTCGGAGGAAGTCGGCAGAGGCGTTTATGTAAGTCTTCTCGGAAGCTTTCATCGATGCGAGTCTGCTCGGTTTCAATCTCCGGAGTCACGTCGCCGGTATCAACGGGGTCCACGAAGGTGAACCATTGCCGACGAACAAGGTCTTCCTTGTGGGATATGATTGTGGTTGGAGGGTGATGCAGGTCATCAATAATGTTCACCTCATTTCGTCCGCCTAAATCTTGCTGGAGGTGATCGGGAGAGAAAGAAAAGGTGGCATTCAAGTTGGCCGAGTCTAGCTCCAGATTGAAGTCTCTCGCATTCAGCCATGTGGATGGGTCTGAGCAGAAATAGTAGTCACTGAATACATCATCCTTAATGCGTCCCATTTCTCTTGAATCCGGGGGATGGACGGGCTGGAGAGGAAAGGGAGAGGCGTCATGGTCGGCGGAGCTCATGTCCGACAGAGACACTGTCTCGAGGGCCAAGGGTGCAGTCATTTCAGGCGCAGACGGTGGTAATGAGTCTAGCTGGGTTGTATCCGGCCCAGAGGCGTAGGAGCTTCGCCTTGAAACATTCTGCTCGGCTGGGTGTCCAGCCTGGAGGACATAGGAAGCGGCGCTCTGGAGACAATCCTGAGAGACTTCTCCTGGGCTTGACTTGTGCGTGCCCGGAACCTGTGCGAGGGGATGGATCTGGGAAGGGTGGTGGGATCGGGTATGGCGAGTGAGGGTATCACTAGAAGACACAAGAACTCAGTACGCTGCTGGATGGAAGGCAAGCAGGTTGACGGACTTGCGACCGAACCGCTTGCCACAAAATTGGCAGGGAAAAGGCTGTTCGCGAGTGTGGGAGCGTATATGTCGGGTGAGGTGCTCCTTCTTGGAGAAAGATTTGGCGCAGGCGGAGCAGTAATGTCGGCCTCCTCGCGGCCTTTTCTGCACGGGCAGCATCACGGAAGGTGGGGATGTCGGAGGGGTGGAATGAGGGAGAAGAGGAATGAATGACCGTGTACGACCTGGTTCCCTGGAGGGCCTCGAGAGGCCCGCAACGGGGGCGCCGTGAACAAAGCCACCGCCGATCGCGTTTGCCAGCATTCCACCCCTGCACCGTAAATCGATCATGGGATCGATCATATTCTTCCCCACTCTCCCACTCTGAGCCTCATTTGAGGTCAAAGACTTTGATTTGAAATTTCTTCTCTTTCTACGGCTTAGAGCTAGAACAGTTTGGTATTGAGTTAAAAAGATGGGGAAGGACGGGGAAACCGGACGCCGAAGCAGCCTCAAGTATGAGGCTCCATGACATCACGATAATCAATCGATTCAATCTAAATCCCCGGTCCCGCTCTCATTCAAACCTTTTGACAACTTTTCGTTGATCTCCGTTAGGACCTATCCGGAGGTAGATCCCGCATTTTCCATATGCTAATCTTCCCTACCTCCTGTACTCAAACACCCGTGATCTTGGGAGACACAGCTACTGGCCATGCCTGCCGAGTCATCAAACTCACAGGATGGCCCTGTCAAGAGACAGACAGATCAGATAGCACCGGAAACATCGCTAGGAACTGCTAAGGATGTCCGTTCACCAGACTCGCACGGTGGATCCAAGGCGGGGGTGCGAAGACAGTGAGTACAGGATTGTTAAGGATACCAACCAGCCCCTGCTGATCAGGTTATTTCAAAGGTGATGGTCGGATAGATATTCAGCTCGATGAAGATCGTGCGGATATCACTCCATTCTTAAACTATCTACAACAAAGGACCATGACGTCGCAAGGGGAACAGGAGTTTGCCGACAAACCGTGCCCGCTTTAAATATTGTTATTCAAGTCATCGGTTCTCGAGGCGACATTCAGCCATTTGTGGCTTTGGGGAAAAAGCTCAAAAAGCAAGGGCATCGTGTTCGTGTGGCCACCCACGAGAAATTCAGAGACTTTGTTCTTCAGGCTCATCTTGAGTTCTTCGACATCGGTGGAGATCCTGAACAGCTATTCTTCAGTGCGATTGGAAATATCGTCACCGGCCTCGTAACCGCCCCCGCAGGTATTGTTACGAATGTGATCTCCGTACGTCGCGTTCTCACCCGTCCCCACGCGCATAGCGATCCTCAAACCCAGTGTGGATGTACAGATCATGGCACAGATCAGGAAATGCCAGACAGCACAGAGGGCAATGGAGATATCGATACTACCACAACAAGGGATCTTTGCCAGCATCTTAATGAGGACGCACGGAATTTGAATGAAAAGCCAGAGAGTGTTCTTCACCCGGAGGCACCCACAATGATCCGTAGCAACGTTCCAACCGTTGGATTTCATGGAGTTGTGTCAGAATTAACAGTGCATGGCGTAAGAGGGTTAAAAAAGCTCGCAAGAATGGCCTTGTGGCTACCCACAGATATCACTATTACCCTGGCTAAAGGGTTTCGCAATGCCCCGAAGCTATATCACGATTATGCGATTCCACCCAATCCAATTTTGACTGGACTTCGAAGTGGTTTGAAGGCTGCCGGAAATGTGAGTGCTCTCTTTATCCAGCTTGGCACTTCCCTTTTCTCCTTCGCATGTGTATTTTCATCAACGTGTTCCTCAGAATCATGAACATGGCATCGCTTGGATCCATTCTAACTTTTTCTAGGAATTCACGGGCGGCTTGTACCACGGAATCACTGGTTTGGTCATTCAGCCCAGGGATGGTCTAAAATCGGGCGGGGGCAAGGGGTTGGCTAAAGGAGTTGGGAAAGGTATCGGTGGGCTTGTATTGAAGCCTGTTGCTGGTAGGTCGAAACAAATATCAACCTCCTTTTTTTGTGTCGTTCAAAATCTCTACATACGGTATCCTAACCAAGAGGCTAGGCATATGGGGGTTGGTAGGATATCCTTTAGGCGGCCTACGCAGGGAGCTTCTCAAATCTCTGGGCAAAGAGGTAGAGAGAAAGATCATCCGAGCACGAATTTTGCAAGGCTCAGAGGAGGTCGAGGCATCATCTTATGTGCAAAGAGTCGAGGTCAAGAGATGGGATCGACTTCAGAGATGATTCAAAGACATGCTCGCAGATTGTCCTTACTCATAGTCGAAACCACTGTCAAAGTACCTGACTCTTTTTTGTCATATATTTATGAGTGATATTTATGCACAATTAAATAATGCGATTCTCGGGTTCACTCCAAAATAGTGGCATGGAATACCTCGTATGGTGTTGCACATCATTTGAGATTGAGAAGAGCTAAAAATGAAGATTATCAAGCCGTCGGTGCTCGGTGTAAATTTTGTGACCGAGCGGAACTCCAGTAATCAAACACCGGGGCTCCAAAGCACCGAGCCCCGCCAAGCCACAAAGCCATAGGGGTTGGCTACGTGCCTTTGTTAAAGTGAATTTTGACTGGCCTTCATTGCTGGTGGGGCCGTCTATATCCTCTACACCCTATGTGAATTTTCCGTTCAGCAGTTTATTGACCAAATCAGTCCTCATCGGTCATCTGCAATGGCGAACGACAAGAAATTACACGATAATCTCTCCCGTGTCAAAGCCCCGTCTCCCGTCGGAAAATCGATATTTGTTGGACTTCGCCTGGCAGATGCACTCTGGCAATATAACTTTCTACATCGCGGCTGGGCCTCTCAGCTTGTTTCTCGACTCAATGGCACACCTTTACCTGCGACAGCTGCTCTCAATGGACAGCTCCGACCCTACTACCAGATCCTCGTTGCTATGTCTCTTGGCAGTGGCATAAAACAGACGATACACATGGCCTTTATTTCGGAACAGGAGCTGTCGGCTGGATTGGGATTTGGCATCGGATTCTTCAATACGGTTTTCAACTCGACTAATATCCTCTTTGGCATTTGGTCTGCGACGTCACAAGCTCCTGTGTCCGAAGATTGGCGTTCTGTTTTGTCCAAGGTGTCCTTGGTCGCGGGCATCTTAGCTTATTCAGTAGGTATCCTCGTAGAGCTTATCTCCGAGCTCCAGCGGCAGCGATTCAAGAAAAATCTTGCCAATAAAGGAAAGCCATATGGAGATGGATTATTCTCGCTCGCAACCAATATCAACTACGGTGCATATACATTGTGGCGGGGTGGGTTTGCGCTGGCAACCGGAGGCTGGCCATGGGGTCTCTTTACATTCGCATTTTTCTTCTATGATTTTGTAACCCGTGGGGTTCCAGTTCTCGACCAGTATTGCACCGAGAGAGTATGTTTTGTTTCCCGTTATTGAATCGGCTACCCTTCTTATTGTCCCTTGCTAACTGCTGAAATTCTAGTATGGAGAGCCGTGGAAGGCTATCAAAGCCCGTGTTCATTACCGCCTACTGCCGTGGATTTACTAGCCACCAATGGTCCGACAACAGCTCCATTAAAACAGAATAACTGTCAGGATGTGCGGAAATTGGCGTCTACTCCGGGTCCTTGTAGCTATATCGAATTACTCCGTTCCGGTGTTTCGACTAGCAGTGCTTCGATATCTAGATGTCAATACTGTTGGGGAGAAGAGGGAGAAGTGGGCCAAGATATGCATCCTTGTGACACTAGACCAGCAAACGCCAGCAAATCTATAATTGATTAAATATCTCGAATACAATATTCTGTTCACCCGTCCTTACAATATCTATTTCGTCCAAAGATGCCGCCGGAAGGGGACTGCGGACTTGATAGCCTAGTGGGGTTCAGTACTCCGAGCCCAGAACCAAAGGTATGACAATTCGAGTCGTGACGTTTCTTGGGCACTCAACGGGGGAGGGCCAATGTGGGGCAGCTTCTGAGAGGGGTTTCTGCCGCGGGTCTAAACCATCTTCAAACTTCAACACTCTTATCCCTTCTTCCTCCTTTAGCACTCGCTGACATGGCTGAGGAACCTGACGAAATTATTGATTCACAAGCACCGCACGGAGACGGCTCTACGTTCCCCCCTCGTAGTTGCTATGACTGCCATCGAAGAAAGGTCAAATGCAGCAAAGTACGCCCGTGCGACAACTGCGTTCGACTTGGGGTTGAGTGCACATTCCCGCCGCCTGGACGCAAGCCCCGAAAAATATCGAAAAAGCCAAAGAATGCCGATCTCTTCTCTCGATTGAGCTTCCTGGAGCGGCAAGTTCAGAATCTTAGCGCATCAAATGTTGTCTTTGTCCCTTCAAAGTCCCACCTGGAGGGGCTGGTCGATCAGCAGAGTCCAGATCGTAATCACAATTTTGAATCATCGCCTGCAGAACATCACCCTTCAGATCTGGAAAGGCGCAGTGCACAGACGGTACAGACGCAAAATGAGGCTCATAATGAGGAGCCTGGTGCTGCAAGTTCCCCGTCTGCGACAAATACCCTGACACATCAATTCGGCCAGCTGTTCATGGATCGGAACAGCGGACAATCCCAATATGTTAGTAATGATGTTCTAACAGATCTGGGTAGTCAGGTATGTCGCTCTAGCCTTTTATTGTTTTCGCTTTGCGAATGAATCTGGCCATATAAGTGGCTTACGAGGCGCCTATGCAACTGTCAGATCAAAGAGCTCAGGGGCCTTTTTGAATCTGTTCCCTCGCCGAATCCATCCCTCTCATCAGACGAAGACCCTTTATCGCCTACTTTGACCCCGTCTTCCGACAACAGTAACTTGTTCCTGTTTGGATACTATGCTCAGGCTCATTCCTTACGAAGCTATCACCCGACTCCGACAGACGCATATGTCCTATTGGATATTTTCGCACAAAATATTGCCCCATTAATTTTGATTGTTCATAAGCCGGTCCTGAGAAGCCTCATTCACACGGCATGCACGGCTCCCGAACAACTTGACCGAGGCTCTGAGGCTTTGACATTTGCCGTTTATTTCGCCGCCGTGTCCAGTATAACGCGAGAGCAATGCCTGACGTACTTTTCAACCGACCACGCTATTCTAGTCCAACGATATCGCTTCGCCGTCGAGCAGGCGCTGTCGCGTGCTGGTTTTATAAACACCAAGAAGCTCATAGTTGTCCAAGCGGCCGTTCTCTTTTTGACATGCGCCTGCCACCCCAAGGATGGGAGATTCGTCTGGACGATGATCGGTTTAATCACTCGACTTGGTCTAGGCCTTGGGCTCCATCGCGATGGCGGTCATTTTGGATTGAGTCCGTTCGAGACGGAAATGCGTCGGCGGCTCTGGTGGTATATTTATTTGTTAGATGTTCAAGCATCTGAATATCAGGCGACGAGCCCGCAGATCCGGGAAGGCGATTACGATACACAACTGCCATCGAATCTTAACGATAGTGATTGGTCCCTTGATTTGGAAAACCCTCCGCAAGAGCGGACTGGCTTTACAGACATGACTCTCACCTTGGTTCGCTGTCGGATCTTGATGGCCCATTGCAAGCTCATGCAAATGAAAAATCCGACTGAGGGTGACCATGCGCTCCTTTTTAAAAATCGCAATGGAGCAATCGACGAGCTTCGGACGACACTGGATCTCCAATATCTCCAATACTGCGACGTCCAAATTCCAATCCACTGGGTGGTTGCAACCATCGCACGGGTTGCCGTTTCACGACTGTGGCTTGTTTCTCATTTCTCGCTGCTGAATTCCCCGGGATTTGACCCGAACTTGTTGCCCGACCAGTGTGATATTCTGGTCAGAACTGCTATTGAAGTCCTCGAATTCGTCTACCTGCTGGAGACCCACCCGAAGACAAAGCAATGGACTTGGCTCTTTCAAGGGCACGCGCAGTGGCAATCGTTTGCTTTCGTTTTGTCGGAGCTTTATGCACGGCCCACCTCTCCTTTGTCCGGTCGTGCATGGGCCGCCGTGATGAAAGTTTTCGAGCGATGGAAACAGCCCGGATATGAAAAAGAAGGCCTGATCATGCGAATTTTAGAACGTCTGATGAATCGTGCTGCTTCAATTAGAGACCAGGTTCGGGCGCTCACGGTGCCATTGGTGCTTGAATTCAATCCACCGAGCTCAAGCAATGTGGATTTGCCTGCAAACCTTGAGACTGAATATCCGACATCGGTCGCTCCTCCAAACACCAACGGTCTGGATATTTTCAGAGATGTGTTGTCCAACGTGGACCTTTACCAGTGGGGGTTAAAGTGAATGAGACCAGTGTGTCGAAATCGATTCCGTACCACCATACCTTACTGGTAGCACCGTGAAAAGTCTTCTTTCATCGTGCCCCGATGCCCCGTTTTGTATGGTCTTGAATACAGCACAGAGTATGTAATTTTACGTAAATGGAAACCGTATTACCGTATTCTCACTTGTCCTGTATTTCCACTTTTGTTTGCCCCGAATCGGTTTCTTACTGTCCCAGCCCCTGTATTTGCCAATCTGCACGATCTGTACGATCTAGTGAAGCCACATCCACTAAGACTGGATCCAGCGAGGCGACACCGCGGTCCCATGGCCGTAAGCATGGTCGATCCGTGCATCCCGAACAGCCTTACACTCTTACCAATCGGTCGGGATTCGGATGTAGGTTAAAAGACCGGGGGTGGGGGGTTCTCGCGGGTTTGTATGCCTTTCTCCCCCTAGACCGCCCGACTGCCCAACTGCCCTGTACTCCGTACTCTGCACAGACTCGGTCTCGCGGTCCTTCGGGACAACCTTCGATGACGTCAGCTCCTAGAGGTTGTTATGTGTGGGTTTGGCGTCGATTGATCATTAGCCAGAATATGACCTATCAAGTTGACTTAGGTTTATCATCACTTGAACCAAACGGAAGTGCGGGGCGCCCGAGCTCGGTGGCGCCCAGCGCCGATGTGGCAATCGGTCTCCCATTTGACGCCGAGATTACTCATAGCCAAAGAGTAATTCACTGTCATGGCTGTCGGCGCGATGGAAGTCCAGGTCCATGGTGAGGAACGGGGCCCGTATAGAGGATGTTTAAACTCATTCCTCTCCGCTGGATTCCAACATCACAGCTCGATCATCCGCTCGCCTCTACTTCCTTTCAGATCACTCAATTGCACAAGTCGCTCAACCTTCCAACTCCTCATTCCCCCTCAAATCCTCCCCCGCCATCATGTCTAAGCTCATCACTGTTTTTGGTGCCACCGGCAACC